GGTGGTGTTGTTGCTGGTGGTGTTGTTGTTGCTGGAGTTGTTGTTGTTGTTGGTGGTACTGTTGTTGTAGGTGGTGGTGGTACTGTTGTTGTAGTTGTTGTTGTTGCTGGTGCTGTTGTTGTTGGTGGTGGTACTGTTGTTGTAGTTGTTGTTGTTATTGTTGGTGGTGGTGTTGTTGTTGTAGCTGGTGTTGTTGTTGTTGTTGTTGTTGGTTGTGATGTTGTTGGTGTTGTTGTTGTTGCTGGTGGTGGTGTTGTTGTTGGTGATGTTGTAGGTGTTGTTGTTGGTGGTGGTGTTGTTGGTGGTGGGGATGTTGTTGTTGGTGATGTTGTTGGTGTTGTTGTTGTTGGTTGTGATGTTGTTGGTGTTGTTGTTGTTGCTGGTGGTGGTGTTGTTGTTGGTGATGTTGTAGGTGTTGTTGTTGGTGGTGGTGTTGTTGGTGGTGGGGATGTTGTTGTTGGTGATGTTGTTGGTGTTGTTGTTGTTGGTTGTGATGTTGTTGGTGTTGTTGTTGTTGCTGGTGGTGGTGTTGTTGTTGGTGATGTTGTTGGTGTTGTTGTTGTTGTTGTTAGTGTTGTTGTTGGTGGTGGTGATGTTGTTGTTGGTGATGTTGTTGTTGGTGATGTTGTTGTTGATGATGTTGTTGTTGGTGGTGTTGTTGTACTTGTTGTTGCTGATTGTTCTGTTGTCGTAGTTGTTGGGTATGTTGTTGTTGGTGGTGCTGTAGTCGTTGGGTCTGCTGTCGTCATTGGATCGGATGTAGTTGCTGCTGCTGATGTCGTCGTTGCTGATGGTGTTGTTGTAGCTGCAGTTGTTGTTGAAGAAGCGGCCGAGATATCAAGCATCAGGACCAGAAGGAAGACAGTGAGGCGTTTCGCCCACAAGTTCTCCATCGTACAATGAACTGCAGCAACCACAATCATTGTCACTAATTGTTGGCAGGTACTGGTAAATTTACCAAACAAGACAAACGCCTCCTTACTCCTTAATGAAGTAAAACTTTGCAGTTAACGTGTTTTATAGTTAATCGGTGACTTGGTTTTGACTGCCCCATAATAATAATAATATCTTTCCATCCTCTTTTTCTGGCAATTTTTGAAGAACGCCTTATCTGCATATTTAGTGATGTGTGTTTTCTAATGCTGCCTACAGCCCGTCACAACGAGTAGTGTCCTTTGTAAGATAAGAGTATCGGTTATTTTTGTTCAGTTTAGTTTGATATTAGGAAGAGCATCCAATTCGTGAGGGTTCATCAATGAATAAAAGTGTCCATCTGTTCTGTTCTCCCTATCGCTGAGAAAGAAAGCCACAGTCATTCATCCAGTACAGCACACTGAACTTTGATCTTTGAACACAGAATAAAAGTCATCACAGTGCATTACAAGACAGAGGAGTCGTGCACGTTTAATTCACTTTAGTTTATAGTCCAGTCCAAAACTGGGATTTAAAAGTTCTGTTTAATTCGACACAGGAGCTTAATAATTAGGTTTAGTTCAACACTGGGTGTAATATTTGAAGTTCTGTTCAACTCAGGATTAGGAGATAACATATCATATCGGTTCTGCTCAGGAGGACATAAGTTTAGTTCAGTTCATTCCAGACTCGTTCAGGCACTGTGAAGGTGACTGGTTCAAACACAGGTCTCAGGTCCGGAATAAAACATGAGAAAAGACATCAGAGTGTCCCTAGCGTTTGCGATTTTTTGTTAACGTTTCTGATAGATTCCTTTACAAGCCTGTTTTCCTATTTTCTCCAGGAGGGAGTCTTTTCTTTGTTTGACGGATCAGTTCCTTAAAAAAGCGATGGTAGAGCTTTCTGTTTGTGGGTGGTCTGTGGAGAAAGGTGAGTGATATATTTTTAAGGATGAGAGTTGAATTGGTAAAGATGATTTTTGAAAGAGAGAAAAGTGGGGATATGATATATAGAGAAAACGTATGAGAGAGAGAGAGAGAGAGAGAGAGAGAGAGAGAG